CAACAACATTTCAAAAATAAAGCTAAAAACAATTCAAAAATATTAAAAGAACAAAAGGTATGAGTATAATAATGATTCTAACGTAACACTAAGCCAAACACCAAAAAACAACTACATATGTGTATGTACAGCCACACACATATACATATACATGTACATATATATAAATACATTATATATATATATATATATATATATAATTTTATTTCCATTTTGTATGTTGAAGTACTGAAATAACTCAAAATAAATAAAAGTAAAACTTAATAAAAAGCCTATATAGACATAATAAAATTACAACATTACTACAACTGTAACTTTTATTGTAGGCTACATTACTTTTTTTTTTGGAGCTGCACATGGTATAGCAGTCTTAAATGCAATAACTAAAATAATAATTTTACTAAATAACTTTTCTTGTCGGCTTACCAACAGTTTAATATAACTAAAATAATTTTACTAAATAACTTTTCTTGTCGGCTTACCAACAGTTTAGTATGTAAATGGAAATAATTAATTTATTTGTCTTTACCTGTGTTATTTTCCACATTCTTTTCTTCATGTTTTCCTGCATTAATCACTCTATAACATTCTTGTAGAGCTCCTGGGATGCAACCTTATTTTCTTCATGCATGGGGAGTGCATAAACCTAATTGTAGCCTATATGTTCAATTATATTATTGAAGGGTATCATGATTTTGATGTTTAAATGCTGAAAACAGACTCCTGATTTGATGACATTTTTAATTACATAAGTTACTCCTGTTTTCTTTTTCCAGAAATGAAAATTCTTAATTTAACATGAATTGTTTTAACATTTTACAATGCATTCAAATCTATTATACTATAGTAAAAAATTATAATATCAATCTGCACAACATTTTGCATTATTTTGCATTTTGCATTCTATTATCACAGTTAAAAAAAGGGATTTTGTTAGGAATGATACTCTTTAAAATCCAATATGGGTTTATATTTTTGTTTAATTTGGCCAACTCTTTGTCGGAGTTGCAAGGTGTCAGGTCTAGTGTTGGGAAGGTTACTTTAGAAATGTAATAGGTTACAGATTACAAGTTACCCAATTTAAAATGTAATATGTAATGTAACTGTTTCCGTTACTTTATTAAAGTAATGTAACTAATTTCACTTGAGTACTTTTTAATTACTTTTCTAAATTTCTATTGTTTTCTAATTTTAATTACTTTGAAACATTTAAAGCAGGCAGGGTTAACGTTACAGTGGTACTCAACACTGATTACTGTCAGACTTTCAGAATCCTTCTTCACTTGAATTAAGATTAGGCCTATAATCATTTAATTGTAAAGCACAACCACCTCAAAATCGGACTTTAGCAGCTCTTTTTACTTTGAGCTATTTTCTTTTTGAGGTTAAATACAGATTTAAAATCATAAGATATAGTTTAATAGCTATGATACTGTTTTTGAACAGTAACAATGCCTTGGGGGAAAAAAAACAGTTAATCTTAAAAAAAAAAAATTCATATACATAAATCAAAATAGGAAATAAAACAGTTATCGAATAAGCATGTGTCCCCAACTCCTGAAACATTGGTGTCTCATATTTTAAATATGTATATGTGTGAAAATATTCAGATATAACTCCCTTTGTAATCATTAACATTTTCACAAGTAACTGCAATTTAATTACACATTTTTTTCTCAGTAACTGTAACAGATTACAGTTACATTTATTTTGTAATTAAATTACGTAATGTATTTACATGTAACTTAGTTACTCCCCAACACTGGTCAGGTCTGATGATAAAAGCCCACACATGGGCGACTGGATTTCTCAAGTGTTGTAATGAAAATGGCAGATGAAGGACGAAACAGGGACGTTCGCAAATGTCAAAAAGAGGACCAAATGTGGACGTAAGTGGACGTCCTCAAAACGTCCACCCGCAAACGTTACAAAGCGGACGTACTGCGGACTTAAATGGACCCCCTGTTTACTGAAATAAATGAACTTTTCCATGACATTCTAATTTATTGAGATGCACCTGTACTCACAATATTGAATTTGGATCTGCCTTGTCTGACAGATACCCCGATCCAGCAGAAAATGCCAGTATTGGAGCGATACCGATACTGAATATCGGATCGGCACACCTCTATTATAGATCAACACAATCTATAAAGAAGCAAAATGAATGCATTTACTTATATTTGATCATTGAGATATTTTACAATAACACGTAATTTCAGCCGAGGAGGGCCTTTAATCGGTCCGTGCTCAGAGCACCGCTGCATCATAATCTGTTCCTGACTCATGTCGTTCCAAACTTGTATGTCTTGTATGAACTGACATCATTTTCTCTTACTCCATAGCTCTTAAATGTTCAAGCCGTCAAACTTCCCGCCAGTCTAGGTTTGATGTCAGTGATGCCATCAGTTCAAATATCTCCTAACAAAATACCAACAAAAGTGCCAACTGAGATTTGGAATCGAAGTGTTCTTTTGCATTCCTTAATGTTCCATTCCCAGGAAATGTTATGTTTTCAAATTGGTGAGAAACAATGAAAAGCTTAAATTGTAAATGTTAATGTCATTATATTTATCAACAAAAGTCAATTTCAGTCAACCCTGCCTCAGCAAACAGAGTTTTAAAATGCAAAAAGTTTATATGTCACTCTCATTGATAGCTTGATGCTACTGGATCTGCACTATAACCAAGCCAAGGAAAACATGATGTTGTTTTTGTGTCCACAAGTGATACTATATTTAAACTTCTAATCCTGTTCTCACAGTAAATGACAAACATTTGTGGTCAGAATCTCTGCTGCATGATGCAGTATTAGATAAAGCCGGGAAGCTGATGTAGGTTCTGCAGAAGATGGCGCCCGCAGCTGAATAATCAATCCGTTCATTTTTACAAAGCGCTTATCCATGGCGTACAGCATAATGTACAACACGGGTATAAATTCATTGTAAATTGATTATTAAATTGTTTGATTAGGGTTTATACATAATTTCCGTGACAGAGTTCAAGATAAATCCTTTAATCTTACTACTGGAGCTGCTAGTGAGCAAGCACAAACTATGCAAAAGCGGCATTCCTTCCGGTGCACTCAGTGTCCGAATTCACTACTCGTTTTCATTCACTCCTTCTAGTGAACTGAATTAGTGACCTAATAGTGAATGAGGGTATAGGGGGCGATTTCGGACACAGCCCATGTTTTGTTTATCTTAGTTTGCTGCAGTTTTGCACTAACTTTGTGTTTTTTTATTGTCGAACTACTGCCTTCTGGATTACTTTGTGTTTTTTTGCTGTTTGCTTTGTATTTTGGACCTTTTGTTGTGGATAATAAATGCTGCTTTTGTCAAGTTAAGTCACCTTTATTTATATAGCGCTTTTAACAATACAGATTGTGTCAAAGCAGCTTTACAGCATTAATTAGGAAAATAGTGGGTCAATAATGCAAAATTACAATAGTAAGCATTCAATTTTCAGTTAAAGGCAGTTCATCATTGAATTCAGTGATGTCATCATCCAGCTCAGTTCAGTTTAAATAGTATCTGTGCAATCAAGTTGACGATATCATTGGATATTAAGTGTCCCCAACTAAGCAAGCCAGAGGTGACAGCGACAAGGATCCTAAACTCCATCAGTGACAGAATGGAGAAAAAACTTTGGGAGAAACCAGGCTCAGTCGGGGGGCCAGTTCTCCTCTGGCCATACGAAACCTGCAGTTCAATTCCAGGCTGCAGCAAAGTCACATTGTGCAGAGGACTCATCTGGTTGCTGTGGTCTTGTCCCGGTGGCCGTCTAGGAGACAAGGTCTTCACTGGGGATCTGTCTCTGGGGCTTATCTAGTTGTCCTGATCTCCGCTGACATTTTGGGCTGTAGAGGCCGTCTCTAGGAACAGATCCACCATCTGAGCTGGATACGTACTGGATCCGGGTGACTGCAGTGACTATCAGTGACAGAATGACAATTTGTTACAGAATACTGCAGCCATTATCTCAGATCCAGTAGCTAGCCAGTCTTCACTGACTTTTGAATTACGGGCATTTGAGTTCTTTCTCCTGCTTTTGGACTTTGGCTGTAGGACTGGAACTTTGTAATTCTGAGCGCAACAAGATTTTTAATGAATGCTTGGATTAACCCTTGCCTCTGTGGGAGATGGAGGGACTGAAGACGCTTGACTTTTGGTTTTATTGACTCTTTCTGTTATCGCAGTTTAGTGGTTCTATCCGGTCAGTCTGTGCCTGTTGCAATGCCCCTGTAGAGTCTCAAGTCAGATTTAACTTCCCCAGAGAATAGTGAGGCTTTGTCGTTATTTCGCAAGCGAAGATCGAGAAGGAGGACGGCAGCAAGACCCACTCCTGTTGTTCCAGAGCTCCCTCCAGTCCGGGAGACCTCAGTGTCCACTCATGAACCTGCTCCAGTCCGGGAGCCCTCAGAGTCCACTCCAGAGAATGCTTCAGTCCGGGAGCCCTCAGAGTCCACTCCAGAGCCTGCTCCAGTCTAGGAGACTTCAGAGAGTCTATTCATGAAACGGCTAAAGTCCGGGAGCCCTCAGAGTTCACTCCAAAGTCCGCTCCTGTCCGGGAGCCATCAGAGTTCACCCCAGAGTCCGCTCCAGTCCGGGAGCCATCTAAGTCCACTCTAGAGCCCTCTGATTTCATTCCAGAACTTGCTCCAATCTACGAGTCCACTCTTGAGTTTGTTCCAGTCCAGGAGTCCGCTCCTGAGCCCCAGTTCCTCCAGAGGTGGCGGCTTTGGCTGCAAAACCTCACAAGGCTGAGGAGTCCACTTCAGCTCCTCTCTGGGTGGTGGCGCCCACTCCTGAACTTTCTGCCTGTCCTGTCACGGCCAAGGAGGCCATCCCAGAACTCTATTTGTTCTGTTATGGCCAAGGAGGCAATTCCTGAACTCTCAGTATGCCCTGTCATGGCCAAGGAGGCCGTTCCTGAATTCTCTGTTTGTCCTGTTACGGCTGCAGAGGCCGCTGTTAACCTCTCTGTACTTTCTATTACAGCCCAGTCTGAGCCATCTTGGTGGTCTCCTGCACCATCAGCTCCACAGAAGTGGTCCTCCGCTCCATCAGCTCCACCCTGGTGGTCATCTGCCCCACCGTGGGGATCTTCGCTCCCATCTGCTCTGCTGTTGTGGTCATCTGCTCTGCCATGGGGATCTACTGTCCCATCTGCTCTGCTGTGGTGGCCTCCTGCTCTGCCGGACCCGCCCTGGCCTCTTGCTCCGACAACTCTGCCCTGGTTTACCTCTGGCACAAGGCCATCTTCCACCACACGGGCCTGGCCCACCATCCCTCCCTCTGATCCGACTCCTTTGAGGCAGTATTACATCAAAAATTTGACTTAACAATACACTGCATTTAACATTAATAACACTTTCTAATTTAGTTTTTTCAAAATCGGTGAATATTCTATTTCCAGTAATCAAGTTTTTTTTTTTACGTCTCAAATGTTACTGTGTGTTTGGAAATGGATTTTTATTAGACAGGCTTATTTGAGTATGTAAACAAAAAAATAAATACAATTAAAAGTATAAATTTTCGCAAGTCTAATGGTTTTATTATTCATACTTTTCACCCAGATGGTATAGTTGAGTATGCTAACAGTAAAAATTTTAGAATGCATTTTAAATAATCTATTTGCTTTGTTAAATCCAAAGCTGTCTGTGGTGTACAGAGCCAGCCCACCTTCCATGACTTGGTCAAGGGCACAGTCAACATTTTCACTGTGGATTTCAGTGAGGTCGCTTTCAGGTCCGGGAGTCAAGCAAGTTGTGTTTTTTCACATGCTGTACAAAAAACACTCCATGATATCACCACTTTCAATAACATTCATCTCAGAAATGGCAAATGTAGACATCTGACATTTACAGGTCACTACAGTGTCTGCAGAGGTACCAAACTTATATTTTACATGGTTATCATATAACTAAACAGAGCTAGAATAAGGACACATATTAAATGTTACAAATAAAGACAAAAATGATGTATTTGTATATACACTGAGAAAAAGCATGTACAAGTTGAGGGTAGATTAGATTATTTCCCTTCACCAGTATCATCTTTCTTTTGTAGTGGTAATCTAGCTGTTAAACACACCTATCCTCTACTCTAAACTGAGTACATTGGTTAGGCTAAACCTACCTGCTAATCAATCTCTGTATGCATAGTCCAGTGGGCTGGGTTGGTTTTGTTCAAAAATAACCTGGCAGGCTATTAAGAAAATGCTGGTGCTTTATGAGGTAAGGTATCAGCTGTTGTTAAATTATGCCAAAGTGGGGCTGATATATATATATATATATATATATATATTTTTTTTTTTAAAG